ATTAATCAAGTTAAATATTTTACTATAAACAATTATAACTGAATGATTATTACATGTAAATTCCCAAAACATCATAAAAGTCTTCCTACCTAAATACTAAATGTAATAAGCATTTTTTATTTCTTTTAATTTATTTGCCTCAGATTATTATAAAGGCGATTTCTTATTTACAAAATACTATTAATTTATTTAGCAAAATTACTGCTGCAATAGCAAATAATCGTCTTAAATTTAATGTTAATTTAAGAAAAGGCCAGTAGGTATATACATATGTATAATAATAATATTCTATAAAAAGCGTGTAAACAAAAATTACATTTGCTATTTGTAAACATGAGTAATACGGGTTTTTGCAAACCCTGCAGCAAGGTATGATAAATCATAAACAAAAATATTAATTTGAAATTAGAAGATTTTGTCTTTCGCTACTGTATGTGTAGGATTTCAGCTGTGGCTATTCATTGTTAGAAGGCGCTAGAATATATAAACTTTTACTTTTCAACATTAGATGGTACAACACATACAGCGTTGTATTTACAGTAGGGGCACCAGGGGTTAGTGCTCAGGGCGGCAAATTCCTTTTTTTGTGCTATCGAAAATGCTTAAAAAAGATGCATTTAAAAATAATACTTGATTTTCGAAAATCGACCTGAAATCAATAACTTCCCAATTTTAAAAAATTAGTGGTTTTTATAGCGGAAAGTCAAAAAGTATTCTGAACTCTCATCTATTTTGTGCCAGAGCGGCATTAAGGAAAAATCCGGCCCTGAACACATACTAATTATTATGCTCAATAAGAATCGTTACTATCAACAATATGATTTCGCTAATGAAACTATGAATTCTACTTCTTTCCATTGTTGCAATGCGTAAAAGGTCAATGCCAAAATGGGGTTGTAAATTTTTTGATACAAAAAGATTAATGTTGATTTTAAATCAATAAAATTATATTACAACCCTATTTTGTATCTGATCTCTTATTCTAAAGAAGCCGTTTTGGTGTCAGTGGCATCCTCATTTTCCAAATAAAAGCAAGTGCCAAAACCAAAAATAAGACAGTAGGTACTGTAATTTTTTATTGCTTAACCGAGAGAGCTATAACATAAAGATTATCAACATCATAAAGTTCCCAGCCCTAAGACTGGTTGGACACGCACTTCCACTTTTTCCTATCCTAGATAATCTTTGCATTTCCCTAAAATTAGAACATTTCATATCTTTAACTATTTATGAACAGTAATCTACTCTAGATCTACCTCTACTTTACTTAACTCCTGTTTCTGCTTCTAATATGCCTGTAATAAGCCCTTCTTGCCTGAGAACATGTCCTATCAACCCATCTCGCCTATTTCCTATTGACTTTGTTCTCATATTCTTTCTAATACCTTCTCATTTCTAACCTTCTTTATCCACGGTATCCTCATCATTCACGTGTAACATCACATTTCGAACGCTCCTAATCATTTTCTTTTCCGCCACGCCCTCCGTCCATGTTCTGCACCCGTATAGCGCCGCGCTCCACACATCCATTTTTATCAATCGTTTTCGAATTTCTAAATTAACCGTTCGCGAGCACAGAACTTATCACAATGTGTTTAGCAGCCGCTGATAACGTAAACATCATTGGCCTAGATAAACTAGATGAAACTCATTCATAAAAAAGGTTAATAAAGAAAATCAAATATTATAAAAAATGTAACATCAATCAAAAAGCAGTTGAGAGAGACTCATTTAAAAAAAANAACCCTATTTTGTATCTGGTCTCTTATTCTAATAAAACCGTTTTGGTATCACTGGCATCCTCATTTTCCAAATTAAAGCAAGTGTCAAAACCAAAAATAAGAGAGTAGGTACTGTAATTTTTTATTGCTTAACCGAGAGAGCTATAACATAAAGATTATCATCATCATAAAGTTCCCGGCCCTAAGACTGGTTGGACACGCACTTTTTCCTATCCTAGATAATCTTTGTATTTCCCTAAAATTAGAACATCTCATATCCTTAACTATTTGTGAACAGTAATCTACTCTAGCTCTACCTCTACTTTACTTAACTCCTGTTTCTCCTTCTAATAAGCCCTTCTTGCCTGAGAACATGTCCTATCAACCCATCTCGCCTAATTCCTATTGACTTTGTTCTCATATTCTTTCTAATACCTTCTCATTTGTAACATCACATTTAGAACGCTCGTAATCATTTTCTTTTCCGCCGCGCCCTCCGTCCATGTTCTGCACCCGTATAGCGCCGCGCTCCACACATCCATTATTATCAATCGTTTTCGAATTTCTAAATTAACCGTTCGCGAGCACAGAACTGATCACAATGTGTTTAGCAGCCGCTGATAACGTAAACATCATTGGCCTAGATAAACTAGATGAAACTCATTCATAAAAAAGGTTAATAAAAAAAATTAAATATTATAAAAAATGTAACATCAATCAAAAAGCAGTTGAGGGAGACTCATTTAAAAAAAATATATTTTGAAAATACGTTCTTATTTTGCATTTATTATTTTGTAGGTTTATTACATTTGAAATAACAAATCAAAAAACTATTTGCTCTTTTCATTTAAATACTTTTAGCAAACCATTTGCACATGTATAATAATCAACAGTTTGCTTTTTACTTGAATCCTATCAATACGATAATCGAAAATAAAGTTGGCCTGCAACGACTTTGGGCCATTTAGTCTTTTCTTCGTCTCTGTACCCTTCCACCTGCTTAAAACCGCAACCCCCCTATATTATCGGAACATGTTACCGCAAAATTTATCTATATTCCAGGTTACGTTGTGATTTCATACCCAGTTCTCGCAACTATTAATTTTAGTACCTGTGCATCCCTGCTAATATTTTTTTTAGTGAATATTTTTTAATATAACTACCTACAATCTAAGTTACGTAAAGAAATAATAACATTTTCTTATTTGACGATTCGAATAATTTGCGTAAATATGAGAATAAGACGTACAAATATTTTCTATTAGCACAACTGGGTGTGTATTTATTCAGACTTAGCTACAAACTTCAAGCAAACTAATACTCATTGGTTTCTTTAATTGCCTTTGGTACCTACATACTGGTAATAATACAAGTGCATTAATTAAGTCAAATAACTCAATACAGCAATATATAGTGAATGATCATCGACTTTAAATAATTCTACGTTTCAATGTCCTTTGATAGGAAATATGTCCACTAACGTCTCTTCATAACTTGAATTGATTCTACATAGAAGGGGTTTTCCGTTTTTTATTGAATTGGATAAGTGATACAACAAATATTATTTGTTTGAATTAGAAGAATACATCATTTCGGTTGCTATAAATATGTGCACAAAATAAATTCGCTCATAAGTCGTAAGTGCTGTTTTTGCTTCACACTTCAGCAAAAGTCAGGATGTTCAAGCGACTTTTGAAGGTAAGCGCATTTATTTTTATTTAAAATATTAATACTTATATTTAATGTAATTCACAGTATAAAATGATTACCTTCAACTAGAATTGCTAATTGTAGTTACCGATTTGTTGAGATTATTCATAATAAGCATGGAAACATCTAGTTTATTAAAGGCAATTTTTCATAAACTAATTTTAGAACAGTTGGCAATCCTAACTAGTTAATACCTACTTATATTTATAATTTGATTAGATTGCGTTCGTCCTATTGATAACATTATGGAGTGTCAATGCCGCTCCCAGGCCGGAACCAATACCAGGATGGGGTAAAGGTGGAGGGTTTGGTGGCGGATTTGGCGGCGGTGGTGGTAGAGGAGGAGGTTTTGGAGGAGGAGGTGGTGGAGGTGGAGGATTTGGAGGTGGCGGAGGTTTCGGTGGTGGTGGTGGTGGTGGATTTGGTAGAGGAGGTGGGGGAGGGTTTGGAGGTGGATTTGGAGACGGCAGATGGGGACGATGAAGCCCGGATATGTTAGATTTAATATTTTTTTTTTATAATTTCTTACCAACAATAGTTTTCCCAACACGCTACAAATATTAATAGAAAATGGTTATTTTTTGTATATATTTTTTAATGATTGCAATTAATTAATCTTTTATGTTACTATTTAATTTATTAGATGTCTAGCACTAATTTGAGAGTATAATTAGATATTATTGGAGATGTTTCTTGGGTGCATTACTCCGAGAAGGGCTTGCTCACAGAATCCTTTTATTTCATGGATACTATGAGCTTAATCTCCTTTAGATGTTAATATGCCATAAGTATTGTATTGCTTTTGAAATTTCCCTTAAAATTGTTTGCAATTTTTAATAATTTGTTTTAAATCACATTGTAGTAGCCGTTAAGGAAATTTATTGTGCAATAAATATATCAATTTAAAAACCTGAATTGGGCCTGTACCAAAGAAACGAAAACCCGTTTACGCCTTAACGTATGATTACACAGCATCGTGACCTAAGGTGTCAATTGTTTTGCGAATCGTTCAGTGCATTTCCCTGACCTCAATATATAATTTATTTTCTGTTTATTACAAATCCCTTAATCTCAATGATCAATAAATTTATACCAACTACCGAGCAATGTTGTTCTTCTGTACATCGAACCGAAAACTATTATAGAAATATTAAAACAGTACATGATATAGGTACGTAAAATAAAATAGAAAATTGACCTATTTCAACGTTACCCGAAATTGTATGGAAATTGTATTTTCAAAATATTTTGGCATGCTCGGCTAATCACTATGGGTCATCGACTGAGCCATTTTGAACCTTCGCTGAGCTTATGGCCTTTGTCAAGAGTGAACAGGAACTGTAATATTGTTGATTTGCGTCGCTATTGCATGCAGTAAATCGCAACGACATAAAAGTATATCCAAAATAAATGTATTTAAAGTGAATTAGTTTTCACACTGATGCAATTCGATATTAAAATCGTTGCAGTAAAAAATGTTGCAAATACATTNAAGACAATTTTTGTGTCGGTAAATAGAAAAATTTGTGCTTAGAATTATTAAAAAAACAAAGTATCAGATTAAATGAGCAAGATCCAGACTTAACATGAAAGACTAAGACCAAAACCAAGACTTGGTCTTGCTCATCATTAATACACGCTTAATTTAACCAGACCTATAAATAGAAATAACATTCGAGAGCAACGTAAATCAAATAAAATGATAATAACGTAATTTTGATAATAAAAAAGACTTTTAACAACATGTACCTGCCAGTTTAATTAAAGAACGACCAGTTATCTTGAGCCCTGCAAGATTTTGACCCATGTTAATACCTAACAAAGTTGCTTCCCAGACAAGTAAAGCTTGCAATTATGTATCTGTTTATTATTACCATGATTATTATGATTTTCAAAACGCCAGCAAATACAAAAAACTGGTAATAACTTAGAACAATACTCCAATAAAAACACATCATATTTACAGGACTAATTGAAATGGTAGTAAGCTAATCATAACAAAAACATTCTTTCAAAACAACGTATTACACATACCAATTATTTAAACAAAAAAGTATGTACAGATTCAACCTCGAAGCAGTTCGATTACATTATACCAATTAGGTGCCCAATAATGGTTTTTAATTGTGTACTTGTGACTGATGTCAGAATGATGTTTAAGTTTTTGAGGATTCTAGTTTATATTTTTAGGAATCTACTGACGAAATACTTTTGATGAAAAATCTTCATTAATAAAAAAGCACCAACTAACACATGTTTATGTTATTATACATTACAAAGCATAATGTTTTGTTTCAGAAAATTAGCGGAAGTTTGTTAACTTATCATAAATTACGTACAAGAGTATATAATATGTTTGATCCAGTTTTATACGACCATGACCTTTTGCGTTTTCTTTCAATTGATTTTAAAATCTAAATCGAAATAATACTAAATACGTAGATTGTACTGATACTACATGTAGGTAATTTATTTTTGGCTTCCATGATAGAACAACGTAAGGCACATGTCGTGCTAAAAATTTAACGAAACGACATAGATGATAACTAAGACAGATTTCTAATTTTGTATCTGTTTATTGAATGCATCACATTTTTACTAAAATGTTATTGTGTTGTATCAAAAGTGGCAAAACAGTTTCACCTATAATTCGTAGTAAGACAATACTTTTAAAGTGAGGAAAACCAAATAAATTTTTAGGTTCTAATGCTGAAGCGGGAGCAGTCCTGGTGAAAACAGGAGTGGTGGCAGACAACATTAATTTGTAGATAGCCGTAGATAAAACCTATACAAGGAAATTATTTAAAAAGTCGTATTGTTTTCCTTCTATATCTTGTATCTTCATATACCTCTAAATGGTTTTGGAATACACATATAGTAGTACATTAGGCCTCAAGGGATGATAAAGTGCGACACCACCTACCTTCGGCTCTGGTGGTTACGTCCACGGGGATGTTAGCGTCATTTCCGAGGACCATGGGGGTTAAAATGTTTTTTCAATAATCGTAAATGCGATTTCTTTTCTGGAAGGCGATGTTGCATTTTCTAGTCCCTGAAACCAGGAATGTACTTGATTTTATAGATGAAAGAGCAGCATTTCTTTCCAGGCAAAAAATTATTCATTAGGAACGGGTTATGGGAAATTATTTGGCAGTTTCTAGTCCTTGAAATTAAAAAAAGTCGTAGATACTTTTGGGACAGCATTTTACCTTCGAGAAAAAATTGCGAATCCCTTCTCGGAGGTTATTTGTTAATTGTTTTTTTATCAATATTCCCTGAAAACTAATATGTGAATTCGTTAGTTCTGCGTTGCGCTCCAGTGCAAAATTTCACGTAATTTTACCAACTTGTTATGCATTTTATAGTTTACTTTATGGTTAAAAATAGGAAATATTATATATGATCTGTCATCGCAATGTCACGAATCGGACAACATAAAGTCATGCTTAGAATATGTAAAAATGTAATTTAAGAACGACTTGAACAACAGAACAATATATTGTATTGATTATTTTTATCCTATCAAACACAGTGGCGGATCCAAGGGGTAACAGAAGAAAATTTCCCCACTCGAGCGCACTTATAGATTCTTTTTAACGAAAAAAAAAATACATCATTTGTGAAGTACATGTACAATTAGCTTAAGAGGGAGCCGATTCCAGAAGCTACATTTAAGAAAAATAGGGAAACGGCAACGTCTCTTCCCCTTGAATCCACAGAATTGTTTCTGTTTAACCTTATCGTTAGTCGCAAAATATATAAAGCTTATGTATTTATACATATGTAGCTTCTGTAATACAATTAATGCAGGGCGTAAACAACAGTAAGAAAATCCATTATTATTTTCCTTTTTTTCTACGAACCCGACTTTTTTATCAACCGTGTGCTACACAGGCTTCTGAGAATAATTTCATTGCTGAAGCAGACAGCTTTTTTTTTATCTTAAAACGCTCACTTTCATTTGTCAAGGGCGCTTCCAGTAGTGTTAGCTTTAAACATGAGTAAAAAATATGCAAATATTGTTTTATGCTATGTATAGCAACGTTGATTTGATTTGCTTCAAAGGGGCTTCCCGTCAATTTGTATTAATTAATTAAACAAAGGCGAAGAACAAATAGGTCTTTTCCTTGAACCGAGCGCCGTTAAGAAAAAAAAAAGCTCGAAAGTATAAATACAAAACCAGAAATTAGTGATGTGCAAACGTTAGTGAATACCGTACTTGAAGAACAATAGTTAGATAGCAAAATGGTCGGGCGAATCCTAAGGGTAAGTATGGAAACAATTTTTGATATTTTATTATTATTTTGCTATTATATAAGATAATAAAAATTTGTATTAGAGTAATTTTTTCCAGATTTATTTTGCATTATTTAGTTAATATTTTACCTAATAATTAAACAAAAAGCAGAATATACTCTGAAAACGTTAAGCTGCAAAAACTTATATAATTTTTTTACATTTAATGAAAATAAATCATGCAGTTTCTCAAAGAAAAGCATTGCTTAAATTTTGTTAATGAAATTTTTAATTACATTTAATTACGATTAGTTGCAGTTTACATTACACCATTTTCCTTATTCCGTTTTGTCAAAATCTTAACATTTTAGGATTTAATATCCAAAATAAAAGTAATAAAAAAAAATTCAATCGATTTAGAATTTGCTTTTTGGTACCTATTAGTTTCGAAGTTTTCGAGTCAAATCAGTTAACATAATTATTTAAATTAATTTGATTAATTTTAGATAGGGTTATTAGATTAAAAAGCTCTTTTGTTTCATAAGAGTCCTGAAGACATTTAATAAATGTGCAATGAAGTTTATCCGAGATGCAATTTTATTGCTGGTGTGGTTTCATAATCAGTAAATGTTTCATCCCTTATTGGCTTATTTGATTTTTTATTGATTACAATTAAATTCTGGAAACTGTGATTACTATTGAGTGTTCAGCACACATGAGATCTGTTTTTTGTTTAATAATGTAAAACTAACTTGAAAACAAATTTATTTATCTAAATAACGCAAAATCAAGATAATATTTAAATGCTATAAGTATAAAATATGTTATAAATTGGTTACAGATCGCCTTTGTTCTTGTAATAGCGCTGTGGAGTATTTCAGCACTCCCTGAGCCGGAGCCACTACCTGGCGGCTATGGAAGTCCGGGGGGTCATGGGGGCTACGGTGGGGGTGGAATAGGCAAGGGAGGAGGTGGTGGAGGTGGTTTCGGAGGAGGTGGAGGTGGTGGATTTGGAGGAGGAAGTGGAGGAGGTTTTGGAGGTGGAAAGGGAGGAGGCTTTGGAGGTGGAAAGGGAGGAGGATTTGGAGGTGGGTTCGGAGGTGGAAAAGGAGGCGGCAAAGGAGGTTATGGAAAGTAAAAATGATCGTAGATAACGACGAGGATAGGCATTTCTGATGTGAATGTTAAGTTTGATGATATTTTTAAATAAATGTTAATGGATAATAAGAGAAATTTTCATTTGTATGTATTTACGTATTCATGACCTTATTCAAAGTTTTCCTGGAGACAATGTGTTGGCACAGCAATTATTAAGGAAAAGTGTTAGATAAATAACATATACCTTTTTAGATTTGTGTTTCAACGAGTTTTTATTTAATCTCTATACGATTATACAATTTTTTAATGTCTCCTTAAAATGTCCGTAGTTAAATTCTTTAGACTACTGCTGGCGATTTTTAGCTTTTAATTTTTCCAATTTGGGCGACTTGGGTACGAAACGCAATCTGTATCTAACTTGAGGCCACTTCCTTTAAAAAGGACGAAATGTTCATTATTCAGGAAAAAAAATTGTCTTTGCTACATGAACATTAGTAAATCTATTATTCTTGGATGATTAGATGTATTGTCGTGCAGCTCGCCTTATGAGTTTGTTGTCAACCATCCAATTTGCAGTTTAATTAATTAATCAAGTTAAATATTTTACTATAAACAATTATAACTGAATGATTATTACATGTAAATTCCCAAAACATCATAAAAGTCTTCCTACCTAAATACTAAATGTAATAAGCATTTTTTATTTCTTTTAATTTATTTGCCTCAGATTATTATAAAGGCGATTTCTTATTTACAAAATACTATTAATTTATTTAGCAAAATTACTGCTGCAATAGCAAATAATCGTCTTAAATTTAATGTTAATTTAAGAAAAGGCCAGTAGGTATATACATATGTATAATAATAATATTCTATAAAAAGCGTGTAAACAAAAATTACATTTGCTATTTGTAAACATGATGAAAGGAGTAGAATTACGACTTTTGCTTAAAAATATATTTAATACACTCTTTTCACTTATGGTGTACAATTCGGCACAGTCAAAGAGCAATACCACTTAACTCGCTCAACTACCAAGAAAGAATGCCTCTTTTCCCTTTTGGTATATACATAGGTATATACCATACATATATTCATAGACTAAATAGTAAACTAAATTATAAACAAAACACCGCTCTCCGGCAAGGAATAGTAGTCCCGCAGAATATAAACAATGACGTGGTCACGAACAGCCAGAGGAACTCCAAGGCAGAAATAGGTTCTTACATTCGGCCCTTCCTGACCCCAGGAGTGTCCCTACGACTGGAATGTCCACAAGCGTCTACATGTCTGCGAAAAGAAAATATATCACTTTTCGAAAGGTTTCGTGTGATTATGCAAGGAACGGGGAAATTGAAAAGTTACCACAGAGCTCATAACACAGAAACGGGCGTCCCCGTTGTTTCTTTTTTTTTTTTTTTTGGATTAACTTAATCGGCATTACAATAAGTTAGAGTTAAGATGCTTCTTAACATCAATACCTTAATGTATATCTAAATCTATGGGTACCCTTATGAGCCGCCTCCGAAGCGTGCGTCGGGGACAATGAGCTTTGAGCCCACCTCAACCCTGCAGCACTTCGTTGGAGGTGTGTCAACGTAGGTGGCCAACAGGGACGGAGAGAATCGACATCTCCTCTACCTGTGTCACCTACCACGACCCCACTTCGAGACTTTCGGCTCGTCTTATCGCTAAATTACCTGTCGTTGTCGTTTACAAAAGTAATCCACGGTCTCATGTTTTCGATCCCCGACACCCCTTGATACGGTGTCCGTGATCGAGCCATTCCAGGAATATCACGTACTTCGTAGCGGTCTTTTCCTAGGATTCGAGTTACGCGGAAGGGGCCGCGCCACTTAGGTAACAATTTTTGACTTGTGCCAGTACTTGGGGTGGATGTGAGTTTTATCAGGACCAAATCTCCCAATGAATACTGAATCGGACCGACACGTTTTGCGTCAAAGTACTGTTTTTGCAACTGTTGGTTCTTTTCGGTGTTGGTAATGATTTCCTTTCTTAGAGCGGTTACGTCGATTTCTCGTTGTTCATCCGTTTCCAATATTGCGTTGTGGACAACACGATATCCTAAAAGGGCTTCGCTCGGAGAGAAACCAGTCGTTTTGTTTATAGTGCCATTTAAACCTAATTGAATATTATTGATATTTTCGTCCCAGCTGTCGTCATCGACATCGGCACCCATGGTTGCCAAGGAGTTAAGTAAGGTGCGATTATATCTTTCGATTTGACCGTTGCCTCTAGGTAACGCGACGGCGTTAAGGTAATGTCTCATTCCTCGTTTCCGACAGAATTTTTGGAACGACTTTGATGTGAATGCCGTCCCTCGGTCGCTAATCACCCGACGGGGAACCCCAAAAATCTTAATTACCTCACTTAGGTATTTTAATGCGTGTTTAGTTTTAGTGTTTTTTACTGGGAAAATTAATATAAATTTTGTAAATGCGTCTATAACAGCAAAAATGTGGGTATTTCCATGCTTGGTCTTGATAAAGGGTCCTAGGTGGTCAATGTGGATAGTATGAAAGGGCCGACCGACTTTAGGAATGGGATTCAAATATCCCGGTTTAGATCCCGAAATTGATTTGTAGTATAAACAATGCATACAATTTTTGACGTACTTTTTGACAAAGCGGCGCATATGCTTAAACCAGTATTTGGACGAAATAAATTCGAATGTTTTTTCGTATGCAAAGTGCCCTATGTCATCGTGGCACAATTTTAAAACCTGATATCGTGCCACGTCAGGTACCACCCACTTAAGGCCAGTGTTCGTGATTTTATAAACTATTCCCCCTTTTAAAGCAAAACTGTTGAAAATATTTTTGTGTTTGTGTGACTCGCCAGTCATCAAAGTAGTTTTGAGTGTTTGGATTTGTTTATCATGTTGCTGGGCTGCTAACAGCCAGTCGCTTTCGGTTATGTTTATTGTATTTACTTGTAATTTAGTTTGGGGAGGGTTACGACTTAGACAGTCGACATGACGCATATGCATATTAGAGCGATGTTGTATTTCATAGTCGTATTCGCTTAATTGCATAACCCATCGCGCTATTCTCGGGTTTAATTCGTTCTTTTTAAAAGTACTTTTAACGGCCGCACAATCAGTCACAACAGTAAACTTCCTGCCGTATAAGTAATGTCGGAATCTCTCAACTGATGCCACTATAGCCAAGGTCTCGAGTTCAAAGGAATGATATCGCTGTTCTGTTGGGGTAGTTTGTCTACTAAAATATGCTATTGTATGTTTCTTTTTGTTTTCAATTTGAATAAGAATTCCGGCAATACCCACTTGGCTAGCATCCGTGAATAACTGACATTCTAAACTTGGATCAAAAATTCTTAAAATTGGTTTTTTTGACAATTGTTGTTTTAAGCGTTCAAACGCAGTTACTTGACCTTCGTCCCACTTCCAGGGAACATCCTTATGCAAGAGTAGGCTTAATGGTCGGGCCACCTGGGCGTAGTTATGGATGAATTTCCTAAAATATCCCGTCAAACCCAAAAATTGACGGACATTATGAACATTTGTAGGGGTTGGGAACTTTTGGACCGCATCAACCTTTGTGTCTATAGGGCGTATAGTAGAGTTGGAGATTTCGTAGCCCAAAAACTCAATTTTAGTTTTAAGGAAGAAACATTTAGACAATTTAAGGGTTAACCCGTGTTTCCTAAAACGTTCTAAAACCTCTTGTAAAATTTCAAGGGATTCATTAATGGTGTTACTGGGGATTAAAATATCGTCTAGATACACAATTACTTTCGTGAAGCGTAAGTTTCCTAGGACGGTGTTAATCATATGTTGAAAGACCGAGGGGGCATTTGTAAGTCCAAAAGGAAGACGCAAGAATTCATAATGACCGTCTTGCGTTATGAAGGCGGTAGCAGGCACAGACTCAAGTGCCATTTTAATTTGATAATAGCCCGACGCTAAATCTAAAGTTGTGAAATACTTGAATCCATTGAGTCTATCGAGTTGGGTTTCTATTAAAGGCAGGGGGTACTTATTTTTGACCGTTATATCGTTTAATGCACGATAATCAATGCATAACCGATATTCTCCATTTTTCTTTTTGGTTAATGAAACTTGGCTAGCATATGGTGAGTTCGACTCACGAATAATGTTGTATTGCAATAATTCGTTTACTAATTCCCTAATTGCCTCCCTTTCAATTTCAGAATATCGCCGGGGTCGTTTGACAATTGGTTCGCTTGTTTTAAGAACTAATTTCATTTCTGTCACATCGGTTTTGCCTACTTCGAATGTGGATTTTGCGACACAGTCCGAATACTTATTGAGCAGATTTTCAATGGTTTTTGCCACATTCTTGTTTGAACTTTCAATTTGAATTTTGATGTTATTTTCTTGTGGGACTGATTGTATTTGGTTGCAAGAAAAGGTTAGCGACTCGCCGCGTTTGACATATTGTACATCGGTAATTTCAGTGAAATTTTGTCCGATAAGCACGTCAATGTTAGTCATCAAACTTGTTATTACAAAGAGCGTTATATTTTTTTCAACACCGTCAACGCTGACATTCGCGTTCAGGCGCATATTTAATTTTATGTTCCCGGCTAATGTTGATATCTCAATTGGAGGGTCAAATTTGTAAACATTTAATTTCAAGCGCGACACGACGTGATTTGTTATTAATGAGATTTCGCTTCCCAAATCAATAAATCCCGACAGCTCGTTACCATTCACCTTGACGTTTCTTAAAAATTTTTGATTTGTATTTTGGTTTGTTTGAATAGAATGCGCATTGTATGGCACTAATTCATTGTTTTGCGAATTTCTATTATTTATGTTTGGGCATTGCTTTCGTAGGTGGCCTTTCCGCTTGCAGTTATAGCAAAGGGGTTGGTTGCGCAATTTCGAAGCTGCAGTGGAGGGTCCCGCAGGAGCATCAAATTTATTTTCAGTTTGCTTATCGTGTATTTGCGCGTCTACAGTTTTTAAATATTGAGCAAGCTCTGCGGGATCCTTGATATTTGCTGCTTCGACTGAAAATCTTACATGCAAGTTATTTATACCCCCCATGATTAAATTGACTTGATCTTCTCCGCCTAAGGGTAACTGTAATTTGTAAATTAAGGCTAGTTTCGCGAAAGCATACTCATAGAGGCTTTGTTGCGGTTTTGCTACGTAATTCATCATGGTTCGGATTGCCCCATGCAAATCACGCTTTTGTTTAAAATTTGAACGTAAAAGATCTTTCCATTCTGGCCACGTGAACGTACGAGTGGGCAGCCCCCGGTACCAGACTTCGGCCGGACCTTTTAATTTAGACAAAGCTAAGTGACTTGTTACAATATCAGACCAAGCATAAATATGGGCATACTCGTCTACCGTATGTAACCACCCTTCGACAGTATGATGCAACGGGTTAAATTCTGCGATTATATTAGCATAGAGTGACATACCAATTTGGGGTTCCTCTCGTCTGCTGCGACCTTCATACCTCTGCACAATATTTTCGAAACCATCTAAGAGGACTTGACTTAAACGACTTTCTGTTGAAGAACGATGGCGTCTTTTCCGGGATATACGTCTTTGAGACTCCCTAAGTTCATGGTCATTTCTGTCGGAAGTAGGGTTTGATATGCGTCTTCGGTTAACTCTATCGTGGGTTCTGCGAGACGACATGTTTACACTGNATTGGAATTTTTCACACACAAGCCTTGCTATATGAGCTCTCAAAGCATATAAAAATTATACGGCTTAAATGTGAAGTTGGGTGCAAAAGAATACAATTAAATCCTCTGTCGGGAAAAAACGAAATGACTTTCCGAACAACCCAATAAAATGTCTTAAAGTAGCCTTAGAAGGTGTCCTACCATCCTATATCTTCTTTTTCATATTGACTCTCTTAGCGCCTTCTGATTTGCTATCAATTGTATTGTTAACATTCGCTTATATCAAACGTTTCTAACTCCAAGTCCACTGTCCACGTTTCGCATCCAAAAACTAAATTTTGTTCTATGAAAATTGTATTTATTTAACAACTATACAAACACTTCTTGAGTGTTTTACAGCGAATAATGATTATGTCACGTTGCAGGCAATCAGCGGATACATAAAACTTTTAATGTATTCCACAGCCACCTCTACACATAGTATTAAAATATATTTACTAATAAAGTAATGGGCGGTAATAGAATCTAATTCCCACACGTAATAAAAATTAAAAAATTTTCATCACGCAATAAAAATAAAGGGAAACCCATCATTCATACGAAAGTAGGTACAAATCAGTCGTTTAAAATTTTAATGGATTGTAATATCGCAAAATAGGTATATTAAACAAAGTGTTTTCTGTTTGTATTTAAGTAAACCGACTACAGATAGATTAAGTTTCCCTATATCTCTTTCATTAACTACAACTTTTTCTAATGTTTTGAGTGATCTTTTCGAATAAAACCTAAAAACGGATTCGAAAAATCTTTTAATTCTTGTGACTTCATTTGGATCATTATGGTTATCATGGAGTTAATTTAATTAAATAACTAAGACTTTTCATGGATTTCCTAGATGATTATAATATTATTAAGAAAAATTGGGTCACCTTTCACCTGTTCTAATTTAGAAATAACCACGAAATTAAAATTGAATAATTAATTCTTAATTATTGTATATTTTCATTGATGGTATTTAATTTACAAGAAAATCAATATGAACTACCTATCTTCTTACTAGATTAAAAGAAGATTGAGAAGGTTGTTTGTAATGCATCTGTCTTAACTAACTATACAATTACTAGCCTTGAGAATGCCTCCCATTTGAAACCAAAACATTGGAAGATTGTTAATAAAAATTTACCATCCAGATTTAGCTATTATAACTAGTAGACAAAAATCTTCTTTTCCACATACGTTTGGTTTACATTAATTATGATCCTCATTACGTAAACTAGTTACATACTTTGGCAAACATAAATTACTTTAAATTGTTTTTTACATATATTCACCTGCCATTCGAATTAATAAGATAAGAATCTTAAGCTAGCATTTACACATTATGTGTATTTTTTGCACAATTTATTTAAATTATTTTTGTTTGTTTTGACAAAAACGGTAAAACCGGCAAGGTAACATTGACCTCACCTTTTAATATCAAACACTACATTAAACATACATGCATGTGTGTATATATGTACCTGTCTTACATGTGTAAATATACATATATCTATCTATGTTTATTTTAAAATTGATGAAATAATCCATATGTGTAAAAACCCCAAGGCCGCCAGTAAAATCATTTTATTGTTTTTCACTTTCCGTTTCGATGTAAAATTATTTAAAATTATATTAAAAATTACATTACATCATATGTAGACGTCTTTTGTATAAAAGCAAGTACAAGGGTTTCTGTCATGTTCGCTATATATTTGAGATCAATATGATTTTATTTTTAATTATCTCCAAGAATTTGAGAATGCAAAAAATGAGGAAAACTGAAATCTTTAATTACTGTGTAGGTCAGGGGAAACTAATTAGTCAACTATATATATACTACTTACTATCTGAATTCTCAATACCTATTATGTACCCTTTTGTATGAACAAAATACATACAAACAGTTTGTTGCATCTTTATATAAATACTAAGTACTAAACATTGCCCATAAGAAAGAGCAGATATTGGTTTTAATTTACTGTTTCCTTAGAAAATAGTAAAATAATATTAAAGATAAAGCAATAGATAGAATGTGCCTACAAAATAGACGGTCTTGGCCTGGGTGGTTGAACGACCAATGTCTATTTGTTTCGCATTCAACTGTTTAAATTTATTAGAGTACCTAACTAATGCATTTAAAAAATAATCATTAACACAAAGATTCATAGATTCGTTTTGATGTGTTAAGATTGTTTAAATTCCATGGATTTTACATTCTACATTTGGAAGTGTACAAAATAAAATGTTTGTTTTTTTAGATAATACTGTTTTGTACAGTATTGGTTCATTTTATCAGTGCTGCTCCATCACCTAACCCAATTCCAACTTTTGGTAAAAGTTACGGAGGAGGATATGGCGGTGGTTTCGGTGGAGGGTACGGTGGGGGATATAATGGAGGATATAGTGGAGGATGTGGTTATAATTGTGGTGGAGGATACGGAGGCCATGGAGGAAGTACTTTAATAGTTATCAAAAAGGTTCCGTACGGCGGAGGATATGGTGGCTATGGAGGACACGGTGGTTATGGAGGTTACGGAAAAGGATTTGGTGGCGGTCACGGTGGCGGATATGGAGGAGGTTACGGGAAAGGTCTCGGAGGAGGGGGCTGTGGGTACGGAGGTTGTGGAGGAAATATAGGACACGGGGGTGGTGGAGGTTTTGGGTTCGGATTTGGAGGTGGATTCGNGTTGTGTTGTTGAATATAATAATTATAATACGAATGGAATTCAAAATTTTCGCGTTGATGTTTTAAATACGTGTCAAAGATCATCTGCGACTACATAAAACTAATTTGTCTATCCCTCGCGAACAGTATTTTTTCTGGATAAATCTACCTTATGTTCTTTTTTGTATCTCTGAGAATGTGTGTACAAAATTTCATGATGATCGGCTGAGTTGTTAAGGCGTGAAATTGTAAACAAATAAACAGGCTCACATTCGCATTTGGATTGCTCACTGGCATTTTCTATGATTAGCATTATGTGATCGTGATTTTTGTAAAATATGCACGCAATCTAGACTACGTGAAGGTCATCCATCAGATGTGCTAAACAATAAACAATAATGATGAACAAATTGCTTTTTTAATTACTGAACTCTTCACATTAAATAAATGAAGAAAAAATGATATCATCACTTAGAAAAGGTTTGAACCTGTTTTTCTGCATTATTCTTCGCATAACTACTGTTACAGAAGTGATTCCCCCAATCATATTATAATGAATAATTATGAAAAAGCACTAAAAAAAGCAATGGGAATTCATTAAGCACAATATTTAGTCGCATAATGTGAAAGCGGGGTTCCGATACGATACGACAAATCGCGTGCAGTAATCGTGTCGTCATCGCATTGTGTGAAAGGGTCCTTAGTACGATAAATTTGTTGAAACGTTTAGTATTTTGTTTTTTCATTAAAAATGTTTCATCAAGCCTGCCCTTTACGCAGTTTGATGTATAAATGATTTCCTTGTATCAAAATGGAATAATAAGTACATTTTGCCTTGAATTTAAATTTCAAATATCCTTAAAAAGTACGAAAAGTCGAACAGGAATTAAAAATTGTTTTGAAAGTGGTATTTAGTGATCATTTTTTCAAACATATAAAATACGAACATCTTGTACTTGAAGTGTACTCACCTATGAAATTTTTGTGGTACATGCCTTGTCTTATTTATGAGTATTATGGTAAACATACATGAACGAATCGAATCGATTAAGCTTTAGTTTCTTGCATCTGCATATTAACAACACAACAAAAAAAATGTTTATTAGGTACAAAATTTTATTGCAATAATCCACAAAAAGTATTTCAACAAACAGTGGCTAGTGTTTATAACAATAGGTCTTTTACAATAAAATCACCTAAGCATTGTATTTGTCGTTATGACGTTAATGAATCATTATTTTCAATTAATACTAAAAGACAGAATCTAGAGGGAGGGGCGAGCGAAGCTCTAACAGTTTCCCCCTTTTAGATCCGTCAGTGCTTAATTCAATAGACATCGAATTAACGCATTATTAAGTAGGTACTTAATTTTGAATTCAAAAAAGAATTTACTTTACTATTGTAAACGTAAACACATTAAAGGTTTATGTCGCATGAGCAATTAATAATTGTTAGCGATTTTATGAAGCTGTTGGTTAAAAATAATGATGTGCGATGCCGCATATTTCTAATTTCACTTAGTAACGTGTCAAGTTTGAATCGAAAGTAAACGGAAAGAACGTGATAGGAATACCGTAACCTAACAACTCTATACTAAAAAGCTATAATTAAATAGGCACCACTTATATCTGCAATTTCATTGTATTTATCAAAACCGTTCTCGATAAAACAACCTTGAAGATTGATGACAATACTTTCTAATATATTGTACCAAATACAAAATGGTTACTAATAAGATCCTTTGACAGAATAATAAGGATAACACTAGAATATCAAGAAAAATCTTATTATTGATATATTTGTTCGTTTTGATATTGGTCCTTTTTTATAATGAATTTTGCAATCAGTTTTTACTCTGACTTATTATCGCGTTTTTTTTGGATTTCCTTATTAGGTCCTAAAATTTATTTCCTTAAACGGTCCTTCATATGAAATAGTGTGACAGTCTTAATCATTTCACATACGGTAGATTTTGTTAGGACTTTACTAGGATAAAGATATTTCCTATCAGATCCATGATCACAATTTCTGGTCGGATATCAGCATGGGCATAGATAGGCAGATGCAAGGGGGGGGACTGCTCCCTTATTAAGCTCATCGCTCCCCCTGGAAATGACTTTGACGAGTCACGTTATTGTTACAAAGTATAAACTTACATCTATCGAACATCTGCCCTCCCTAGGAAAAATCTCTCGCTACGCCCATGGCTATCAGCGAAATGTACATAGGGTTAATATAACGAAAATTGTGAAATTTACCTACTTTTTTTCATTTTCGAAAATTTCTTTTCCAAAGGTTGTTGGAAAATAATATTTGAATGTTTGTTTTCTACTATTTAGTCAATATATAATAAAATTAAAACATAACCCTTAACTATAACATCAATCAGAGAAAATTAGAATATACTAATTGCAAGACCATAGTCACTAAAGCAAATCGAAAACCTTTGGACTTTTACAAAGCAAAAATACCGGTATTTATTGTCAATAGTTAATATTTGCTGAAGTGACAAGTACAATGATTTACGGCAAATACGTTAATGCTACTTCAAAGTGCTTGAAAGGTCCAAAAATAGTAACAAATGTGCCACCGGAATTACCATACGTACATAGAATAGACGTTACTAACTAGCGCTAACAAAACTAAACACCTTTTCACGTAATCTGATCATGACGACCGCTTCTGACATGAATTACAAAATTTTTCGGAGTTCCCAATCCATTCATGATGATGCTCAATTACTTCAAGACAAATTAAATGGTTACCTTGAATACTTGTCCGGCAATGAAGACGGCTCTGTACTGCAAGTACGATGGGCCACAGTATATATAAGAAAATGGAACAATTCATGGACCATCGCAATTGAATAGACATAACAGTATCCGCCACTCGAGTGTGGCATATTGTGTTCGAAACAATCGAAAGGGTTAAATGTTTTTAGGATGATTCGAGAAGTTATAAGGGTAAGTCAAATGTAACTGACTATATTATTATTATCATCTCTTACATACTTGCAGTATCTTAAAACAAACTTTTTGTAAGCAAAGAAATTTTATTTACAATTTACACACATTTTTGAATAAATAATGAATGCAGTCACGTTAAACAATGATTAGTATTTTCATCACTTATTAATATTCAATTGATGTAGGCACATTAATAAAAATTCTAATATTATTGTCTGCTTTTTCTTAAATTTCATTAATATTAATAAGATACATTTTTGACAACATTGGAGCTAATATGCCTTCTTTTTAATATAGCCTATAAATAAAACAATTTCGTCATTTTCTAGCGATCTTTAGATTTTTGAGTAGGTTTCAATAAAACGAAAGCATAAAAAATTTCTGCTTGGTTGGAATTTTTAATATTAGGGTTGTGTTGTTGAATATAATAATTATAATACGAATGGAATTCAAAATTTTCGCGTTGATGTTTTAAATACGTGTCAAAGATCATCTGCGACTACATAAAACTAATTTGTCTATCCCTCGCGAACAGTATTTTTTCTGGATAAATCTACCTTATGTTCTTTTTTGTATCTCTGAGAATGTGTGTACAAAATTTCATGATGATCGGCTGAGTTGTTAAGGCGTGAAATTGTAAACAAATAAACAGGCTCACATTCGCATTTGGATTGCTCACTGGCATTTTCTATGATTAGCATTATGTGATCGTGATTTTTGTAAAATATGCACGCAATCTAGACTACGTGAAGGTCATCCATCAGATGTGCTAAACAATAAACAATAATGATGAACAAATTGCTTTTTTAATTACTGAACTCTTCACATTAAATAAATGAAGAAAAAATGATATCATCACTTAGAAAAGGTTTGAACCTGTTTTTCTGCATTATTCTTCGCATAACTACTGTTACAGAAGTGATTCCCCCAATCATATTATAATGAATAATTATGAAAAAGCACTAAAAAAAGCAATGGGAATTCATTAAGCACTAATAATGGGGCTGACTTTTATTCTGCTTAATACTTTTGTTATAGGATTGTAAAAATTTTGCAAAAATTTTTTAATAAATATTCTTTTGTTAGTTTCTGTGACCAATTAATGTTTTAAAAATTCTAAAAAGTAATAATTTTATTTACGAAGATTAAAAAGGTTGTGTT